TGTGTATTATGTAAACAGGAGCGACTGTTCAAATTCGTAGATGATTCTGATATGGTTACACGATTGATAAATAATTTTTTTTACACATTTTACAATACTTCTTTTAAAAGCTCGGGTAACTTAATTTTCTGTGAAACGAGAGTAAATTTAACAGATGAATTAATTTCTTTGCTTCGCTCTATACATATTCTTTAAATCCCCGTGAATCCCACAACTTTTTTTTTGTAATCTGATTGGCCGATTTGCTAAAACTTGAGATATGATTGGTTGACAATCATGTGTAATTGTATAGGAATCATCTACGAATTTGAACGGCTGCTCCTGTTTATTATGTATAGTTGGTTCAACTTACAAAGATTTCCATTTTTATATATAGATGGTACAGAAGGGAGGATCTAATGAGGCATACAAATATTGTCTTGAGAAGCATATCAACTCGCCAATCAATACTTGCATTTTATAAAAATAGGCAAGATATACCGTGAATTGTATGTATTTGCTTTATTATATTTAATATTCATAGCTTGTCTTAATTTGTCTCTTATTTGCTTTTATAGTCTTTTTGAAGTAAAAGATGGTGACGATTTGTTAGATTGTGGAGAGGGCTACACTGAAATAGACATTATCGTAAAGACATGCTCTTATATCGTGAAAGGATTGAGGAAAGGCCTCGGAATAAATTGCAAATGGTAACTAAGCATCTTTTTTGGTTTTTTTTTTGATTCAAGCTAATGTATAAATTATAAATTTATGTGCAGGGGAGATTCCTTCTGTCCTATGAGCCGATCTACAAGTTATGAAAAGGGACGGAAATGTGACGTCCGATTCTTAAGTTCTTCGAGGACAGATCTCGGTGAATGGGAATTTTCAGCACATTGTACTAATGCAAAAGCGATTGGGATCGCTGTCGTTCTGCCAGGGTAAATCAAACAATATTGAACGCCATTTTGAGGCTAAACTTAACCACGGAACAAGTAAATAAAACAAAGATCCCTTTTTTGCAAATTTCTGGCGTTTACGGGCAGATGTTACTAGAAGATTTAATAAACGACTTTTACCTGGGATAACATTTGAGATACCTACCAAATTGGCTCACATTAGAAAGTTAAAAACAACGGTGAAAATGTTTAAATACGTAATGGTAAGTATTATTATGGAATACTGGAAATGTGCAGTGCGAGTTAGTTTTTTTTGGGAGGAATGATTTTCGTACGTACATCAATTTCGTGTAACATCACGTACATCAATTTGTTTTGACCAATAAAATCAAATAAATCATCGGCAAAAATTTGATGTACGTGAAGTTACACGAAACTGATGTACGAAAATCATTCCTCTTTTTTGGGCACCAAAAGATCTAACGTGTTATGTTCACAAACAGGAAATGTATGAAGAAGTCGGTAGCATGCTTTATGAACTAGACCACGGGTATAATTCACTCAATCACGCCTTCAATGTCAAGGTTGTCAATGGATCATCGCATTACAAATCAAATTTTATCCATGATCCATTGGGGTGTGCGGTACACTATGAAAATCAAAACTATATGTGGTATCATAGAAAATTCTAATATAACAGATTTTTAGTGAT